TTTTCTTGAATATTTATTGCGATTTGCAAATAGGACACATACACCATTACAAACTTGTTATAAGCAAGCCATTCTCATAAGTTCTTTTTCTAAAAATCCAAATTGACTTTTCATTAACCTTATTGCCTAATATTATTAAAATTAATGGAATATTGAACTATAACTATCCCATTTTTTTGTCATCTAAACCTAATGAGTCCAACTTCTGAACTGTATTCATTCCCTCAATATAAAATGGTATAAAACAACAACATGTCACTCATGTACCTTTAACATTTTAAGCCCGTATAGTTCAATTCACAAAGTGCTCTTACAAAACAAAGGATCGGTTAAATAATTGGAGCGCCCACGGCGTTAGCAATAAGCCGATTTGCATCTAGTCTAGTCCATCCGTTCGCCCTGTACCCGATTACATTTTAATCCCAATTCTGATTTGTGCAATCTATATTAATTGTTTTATTTGAACTATAGCCAGGTATGTGGACTAATCGGCTTTAATACCTAACTGAACTTTTGGCTTTTGACAACTAACTTAGTTTGTCCTTAAATATGTTTTCATTAATCTTAAGCTGTTTTCTTAATTTACTGGAAACTGTATCCAAATCCGTTAAAGCTTTAATAGACCCGTTAATACGTACCATCGCTACAGTGTTAAATAAAATTGAAATCTAAAGGAATGTATTAAAGATTAATACAATTTTCATTTTTTCAATTTAATATAACATGATTTAGAAAGTTTACATAGCCTATTATATACATATATAATGGGGCATGGATGGTCATAAATAGTTTTTATTACTAACTATGCCCCGCTATATATATAAATATATTATAGCTAATCTACATACATACTCATTGATAGAAGCTGATAATGACGTGTGTAATAATAGGTCTATCCGCATGATAATCAGAATGAAAACTTACAAGTCATACACTCATACGATTAACTTTTAAAAAGTTAAAAACGAAATACTTTTCATAGACTTTGAAAGTTTATATACAGAAAAAAGACTTTTAAAACACTTATATTTCAAAACATGTATTTAACTACTGTAAAAATATTTATATTAATCTAATTCCTCACTTCTAAGGCTGACAACCCTAACGTGTTCTTTGAAGGGATTAACGGTAGGGTTTTAAAGGCGCGTTAATTACTATCGTTTACGTCAATCATTAGGGCCGCCGCCTCTTTTATTTACAAGTAATACTCTTTCACGATGGGTAAATAACATCCTTACGATCACTAAAGAAGACTTTATTCAAGATATTGTAAACATTGATTATGGAAAAGGAATACAAATGTTAAGTCTCACGATGATGTGCGATAGACACTCAGTTTTTAATTTGCATATTTATTCACTGCCACAGAAATATGCATTCATTTCAAAGTCCAGTAATTCTATGAAAATATACTTTTTCAATGCTGCCCAGAAATAAAAAGTCCGGTCAAGTGCGAGTCGGAATCGCCCACCGAGGGTTCCGTACAAATTTGTTGGTACATATTATAAATAGTTCAAGAATCGGGTTTTCCTTGTTTTTCCGAGCTTTACCCGAAATTCAGTTTCCAAAACCTATAATTACTTAAATTGTGTTTAATAGACCTGTTTCTTAGCGTTACATGGATTCACGTGATAGATGGGGGCAACACATGCGACTTCGACAGCGCCTGGGACTTGCCACCAAGGTATAGGTTTAGGAAGTACTCACTACTATCTGCTGTGTTACCCCCTTACCTACCTAATCTACCTAACCATATTTGATATGAGCCTAGTAATGCCGCTTTGGATATTCGTTCAAGAAAGAAATAGTTCCTCGATGATTGATAACATACCTTAAATAAAAACCACATTATTATGATTAAATTACAAATGTATAGTTTTCAGATTTTTCCCTGTACTTGTAGTATAAGACGATCGTAATTGTCAAATTTCATAGTTTTTGGTCACCGGGAAGTACCCTATGACTTTTGATTCCTTTGACTGTGTCGAAATATGCGTTTTTTTGCTGCATAAACGGCCGTGTCTTCTTTTGACGTGACTGTAGAAGTTTGATTTTTTCACAGCTTCAAGGGACTGTAGACCTAAGTATAGGGTTTTAATTTAAACTCCAAACCTCCTGACATATGGACTGACGAAAACAAAGTTGAGGTTGGGTTCCGTTTTTTCCTTTTAAGTTACGGAACCCTAAAAATATCGTGTAGCTTCTGTTTCATTTATTTATTTTGTTTGTATATATACTCGTATATGAAAAAGAGCTTCCCTATTAATGATATGTATATTTATTATCAACCCACAAAATAATATCGCAAAAATATGTCAATATTATTTTAATTATTTTAGGTTAAAAATTAAAAATAAATATTTTTCACGTTTTTCGTATGATCCTGCTAATTTAAGGCCTGAATGGATCTTGTAGGCCCTGCCAAAGCTGGGCAAAGGCCAATTTACGAAAAGGCCTTTTTTCGTAAAATAACTATAAATCGGATAATTTTTAATTGTTTCTAATTTTTCAAAAATGCTTTTTACTTCTTAAAAGAGGCTACCTTTTTACCGAATATAAATTGATTTGCTTAATAATGGAAAGAAGTACGTTAAAAATAAAATATTCTATTTTTAGGTTATCTTGTGCGACAGCTACAGAGATGGAATTATACTACCTAGCTTCAAAGTTTTTTACGTAGTGTAAGTGACAAACAAGCAAACGGATTATGATGATAGAGAAATGTGTGTCCATGGGTTGCGCTAGCCACTTTCGGTTACGTGGGGGTGACAACGTCCATGTGTCTTCGTATGTCTGCAGCCAGCAAGGTCGTTGCCACACCTTGCGGAGACGGAGGGGAAAAAATTAAAAAAGTTTACTAGGTTCGAGATGTTAGCACGCTTTGTCTCTCGAAGTGAAGTTGGAAATTAATTTATTTTTAAAAGTACTACTAATTTAAAAGTAATAATCAGAAATTTAAGTGTACAAACCGTAAGCCAAATCCAACTTTTTTACTAGCCTATTGTTATTACGAAGCTTAATCCTTGAGAAATCCCAGGACTGAGACAATGGCATAGTAATAATATTAAAAAATCAATAACAATAACAGATAGTAAAAATTATTTCGGCATATTTGAGCCATAAATTCATATTTAATAAGGTAATTGAGTTCTCGGAACCACACAATTTATAATAACAATTATAACTTCATATGTCTCACACACGACAGTCTGATACCAAACTAGGCAGAACCACAAGGTAGCCAGACTGATGATACACATACTTCAATATATAAACATTATTAATAAATTAAGTGTACACTCACCCTATGAGTAGGTATATTTAAAAAACTTATCATATCAGTACGATTAAAGGATTCCATATAAACAAACACTAATTACATCCCAACGAATAGAATTACCAAAGCACCGATACTTACTCAACGTTCAAATTGTAAAAAAACATGGAAACCTCGCTATTCAGTGGACACTAAAACGAAAATCCCCAATTAATTGGTGCGACCCGGCCGATCGGTACTAAATTAAACATTTTCTCTTATTTAAAATCGAAATGAAGTTCATTTGAATTCATCCCTGGCAGTAATTACACAGTTTACGACGTGCAAAAGCCTCGAATAGCCGATATTTTTCAAAATGGCCGCGCGTTCCGTCTCCAGGGAACACCACAGACATGGCTTGAAATGAAATGGCTAATCTTTGGTTCCTTGGATAAAGTTAATTAATGCATTAATTACATAAGTTTTCTTTGTTTTCAAAGATAGTTTTTGTTTAAATTCTTTTACGAGAATAATGGTTGTGTATACGTAGGTACACATACACGTACAAAATTATTTAAATGTATTTATTAATAGCTTAACTAAACTTTGTACAAGTACTTTTAAGGAATGAAAGGTATTCTTCATCTTTTTTTAACACCCCAGACAATATCTATGCAAAATTTCATGATGTTTCGTAATTAAAGTGAAGCGTGACCAATAAATAAATATATTTCATAGGAATCAGATACTGAACCTAGTTTCATTTGGTATGTATGTGTGATGTACTCTAATGCGATTTTTACTACATGTATGTACAAGTATAGCTAAAGGCATTTACATATTATTAGTAAATTAAATATCTTCATATGATGTTTAATTTTTGCATCTAAGAATTTATTGAACATTCGTATAATTTCAGAAGATATTAAAACTCTCAGTTGGCAAAACATACTAATAGCACCGATTACTGCGCTATCTAGAAAGTGATTGGAAAAAGTTTCCTCTTCGAACTTTTTAAATTGGATCCAACTCTCTCGTTCGGTCCGAGCTCAGAAAAATCCAACTCAAGTGGATAATACGATTCACTCAATACTATTAAATTGCATCTTTAAAATACCTTTACATAAACTATTAAAGGACTTATTTTTCCATGTATTGAGTTGTTGCCTTTGCTTTTATTGATAAATGTACTGAAAAAGAATTTCTAACCCTCCGAGTGCAATAGCGCGTAATTGCTATTAGTTACGTAATGTTTTTTTTTATATGATTTACCTTACAAACAGAGTAACTTTTTCATGGCATAGGGGCAAACAAAGAGACGTTGCCAAGGCCTCAATTCTGTTATTTTATTTTAACGTATAAGCTCCTGTCATTTCATTGCGACGCTATTGAGATGTCATTGACATCGGTCAAAATATCGGTATTCTACTAACATAAATTCACTGAGTAAATGGAGTGTCGATATATTGACAATGGCTCATCAATGGTGATATCATCAACATTGGCATATCTGGCAAATTAAATATTTCATTTCCTTACAAATTTCAAATGTACAGTTTACCAAACTATTACAAAGACATCGACGACCACACTCACACATTTCAGCACCACCGTAACGTAGACTGGGAAAAATTGCCTGTGTCATGAAGTCCGCCATTGTACAACTCATACTTGTGCATAAAGAATTAAATAAAAAAATAAAACAAAATATACGAACGAAATTGTAAATAAGTAAACTACTTACCATATCTCTCGGCTGATCTTCTTCAGTGGTCTCGATGTCAACGCTCTCATCACTATCCCTATCACTCCTCGGTGACCGTGCGGGCGATGACGGAGGTGGTGATCGAAGCGGTGATCTTGTGTGTGGAGAACGGCGAGGTGAAGGTGTGATAGGAGATCGAGACCTACGAAATCATCGATTTATTTAAAAGAGAATTTGAAGTTTGTAATTGCCTTTGACGAATTAGGAATACGGAGTATTCACGTAAGTTACCTGTTGGGAGATCTTGGAGGTGACATGACAGGTGATAATTGTGGTGATTCCAGTCGGTGGCCCCTGACGGGTCGGAAAGCGCGTGGCTCTTCTATCGAGTTTACACTGCTTAAAGCAGTTAATGCACCTGCACAAGGATAGATTTTGTGATTGATATTGATGACTGAGAACTTGGACACAACTTCGAAGATTTCATTGACTACTTAGTACAACAACTCATCAACGACGCATCGTGCTATCACTGACTGCCTCGGTGGCGCAGTGGTAGCGTATGCGACTGCTGAGCCGAGCGCTCGGGTTCGATTCCCGGGTCGGACTAAATGTTTCTATGATCTGCAAATATGTTTCGGAGTTTGGGTGTTTTCTATGTATAACATGTATGTATTTATGAAAAAAAGTATATAAGTATTGTATCAGTCAATCTAGCTTTCATAGTACAAGCTCTGCTTAGTTTGAAACTAGATGGCGTTGTGTGTCAGATGTCCGAAATAAATTATTACATTATTATTATTATATTTCTATCAAAAATCGCATTATGAACCAGTTCAAAACAAAGAAAATTGACTTTAATTTTATTATGATTTTATGAAAAAATATAATATATGGCACTGCTTTTTGAACTTTTTCAGTCCTGGGTATAAAATTGTAATTAATCGTAAAAATCATCTAATACAAATTTATAAAAGGAGCGATACAGTACTTAAAAATAGAATTGACTCGTTAAATCAAGATCATCTGACTAAAGTCATGTACCTGTATTAAAAAAAGACTCATGCTTACCGGGCGTCCACAAAGTAGGTTTGAGCCAAGGTAACGCGTAGGGCAAGGGCAATCTCGCCCCCCACACATAATCGGCAAGACGCGGCACGGGAGCGTGGGCACTGGGGGGACTAGCCGTAGGCCTCTTCGCCTCGCCACTACTCTCAGACTCGGGCCTGCGAATAGGTACTCTTCTGAAGCACAATTTAAAGCTGAATTTTTCAAAAGTATTCATTTTAGACATTTATGGCTGCATGTTAGAATACAAGTGCAAAATAGAAGAAGAATATCAGTTACATAAGCTAGGTTTAGTGTTTATGCAAAACTTAGGCAAAAGTGTAGAACAGTTGCATATCGTTGACTTTTTTTTCATCTTACGAGTGATTGAAGTCGGATATACATTGATTACAGTGTGCCTCAAAATGCAAGTTTGGTAATGGTACAGTCACACTCAGAAAGTTTCTACATTAACTATATACACGGTGTACATAGTTAATGTAGTACCTTTTGGAAGACTATGTTACTTGTTGGAATATAAAAGTGTATAGAAACTTATGAAATAGACAACTTTACAGAATTTTACACAATTGACAAAAAAATACATTGATATAAATACTATTTTTTTTAGACTATTATGGCTAAATGGAAGTTTGTTTAGTTAACTTTTTATTGGGATCAATGTATGTAGATAACATTTACTATTTTGTTACATCGGAAATTGTTTAATCCAAATAATACCAACAAAATTGAATTTGGGATAAACCATACATAGGTATATCTCTTTACCTAGCAGCCGACAGCATCCTCTTCCTGGTTCCACCGTTGAACATGGCCTTTACATCTTCCCAAGCGTGCACCACTTCTTCAGGAGGAGTGCCACTAAGTTTCATGTGTCGTCTCCAGGAATTGAAGTTGGCTGCATCGGGCTGGATGTACTTATCTCCGGGTCCAACCCGATGCGAGTGGAATATAAACTTGTTGGGAGAGAAGAACAAACCGCAGTATGCACACTTGATGCATTTTGCTCGAGATGAATTATACCTAGGATGATGATTAAATTTTAAAACTACAATGAAAAGTAAAATCAACTCTAATGCGTTTAAATAATGTTGATTTTATTCATTATTTAGTTATAATAATAATAAATTAAATTTTGAATTTCATAGAGGATGTGGCAACAGTATAATTCCCTCCAATAAATAAACAAAGAAGAGTTTATTTCAGAATCTTACTGTGTTTGTGTCTGCCCTATTAGGGAATTTGAAGCCATGTATTCAGGGAAATACCTCCAGCCAATTGATGGAACAAATTATATAATATCATTCCTGCCACTTTTTTCAAATTTAAAACCAATCTCTTCACTTATTAACATTTAGAATAGCAAAAGCTTGTTTTGAAAGAATAAGATACCTGGCTGGTAAAAACGCTCCCCGACATCCCCAAGCACACTCATGATGTACTGCAAAGGCAAAGTCGTCCGGTAGCCTTGGGGGTGCGTTGTCTCCGAGAAATGATTTACATAGACGTTCAGCTTCCCGGCGAGTTATCATACCTGTCAAAAGGAAGTTATCAAGAACCTACCTTTTTAGAATTACTCATAGGTATGAGCACACTCAGAACTTGGCATGTGTTTTTAATCATCAATTTTGTTTTGTTAACTAAAAGATCATCAATCGAATCAAATATCTTTCAAATCTTTTTTTATCAAAATCTGAGATCTCTTTTAACTTTTTGCGTTCTTGATGTCCAAAATCAGTTCATACGATAATTTGATTATAAGGGGTATGGCACAGAGACTTAAACATACATCATCAACATTTAGACGATGGGTGGGACTGTCATCTAAGCAAATGATATTGTAATTATTAAAATAGTTGTATATTTAACCTATATTCCTTGTCCGTGTAGTGACGGATTAAGAATACGGAATGTCACTACCCCAATTCATCCCGTGGGTGTCGTAAGAGCCGACTAAGGGCGCAAAACAACGCAGGACACCAGCACTGCAAAAAGAAGGAAAACGTGACACAAACCCTATACCAACCCGTCTGGCCAGCGTGGTATAGTAGGCCAAAACCTCCTTTCTCAGGAGAGGCCTATGTCCAGCAGTGGACTATTAAAGGCTGTTGATATGATTCTTTCAATAATTAACTTTTAATATTATATTTAGAATATGGATCAAGTATCTGAACTAAAAATAAAACAAAAAAATAAATAAAAAGAGTAATTTTTACTTTGAAATAAATTTATAAAAAATATATACATTGTTACATTTACCACATCGCCTCGACGAAACGGGCATAGCCCCAGCTCTCCTCAATATTTCCAACTGTACCGGTGTACATTGAACACAAGTGATGCCCAAAGCGACCCGTCGATTGTGGATCTCGTTGTATGAGAACTGTTTTAGTAGTGTGTTCGATATTTGAGCTAGGCAGAGCCTTTCATTCCCCTCAATGACTAGAGACACTATAGGTACACCATAGAGGAGTACTGTGCCAACCTGAGAATAAATAAAAAAAAAGACTGTACGGATTCGAAAGTAGCTAGGTATTAAAAATTAAAACTACAGTAGTCAGGTGAAAAATATTCAAATCTTTAACTCATGCTTAAAAATTTCAAACAAAATATTCTGAAATCTCTCTCTAAATTAAACAAATGTCTATTAATTTCTATTACACGTTTACTTCGATAAAATTGAAAAACTGCACGGATTGCGTAGGGGTTTAAGCGGTCGCCACGCCGCTTACTACTACGCTGAGTATTGTGGGTCCGATCCCGACATGGGACGACACCTTGTGTGATCCACAAACTGTTGTTCTGAGTCTGGGTGTTCTTTGTGTTCGTTTCATGTATGTTTGTTAAGTCCTCCGCGACACAGGATTTGTTCCTAGTGCGGGAGTTGTCTTTTTTAAGAAAAGAAAGAAAGAAAAGAAAATTTAGTTTAATCAAAGTACTGAGTTCATGAATTAATCGAGCAATTTTTTAACCATATTATTGTACAGCAACAACTAACATATGAGTAACTGTAAGCTTATATAATTTTATTAATTGCAATTAACAAATAAATTTCTACTATAAAATACAACATAAACTTTTTTTCAACCTTTTATCAATGAACACAGTCAATTCGTTTATATTGACGGTGTTTATCGAAAAAGAAGCTTTTTTTTATTATTATTTTGGATCCGGGATAGTAGAGACCATCCTACATTTTTATTGAGGGACTATTATTTGTAAATTTATTCTAGGCGCAACCATTTGTTAGTTTAAATAGGGTTAAGCAGTGCTCCATGTCACCAAGCTATGATTACGAAGTAAAAAATTCATTTCGCCCTTACCTGATTTGGTTTACCGTTCAGATGCATAGATTTATGTTCTCTAGGTTTGAGGGTCTCTCTTGGCGATAGTGCCAAATTTGTAGCCTCCATTCTAAAACAAAAAATTCAGCTTCAGGGTCATATTAAGAAAAATATCTATGAAAATAAAATGATAAAACTACACGGTATTTTTTATTAAAATTCATAGGCAGAGATTTTTAGTGCAAGCAAAAATGACGCGGCAATTGAAAAATACTTTTTCTGTTTAATTGAAATGATCTCGTACAAATTAACATGTAATTTATACTAATCTTCTTTTTTTTTTGTCTGTTTGTCTTGTTTTGTCTGTCGAATCCTCAAATAATTATAAAAGTACCACGTGGTGTTATGATTTGAATACATACGATTAAGTTAACACGACCAAGTAAAACTATAATCTCGGTTCTCGATAATATTAATCACGTTTATTGTTGCATTCCTTTTTTGGGGCACAAACACATGAAATTACACAAATAACACGGAATATCATTACCACCAACCATTATTCCAGTTAATGTGACAAATAAGCAATAAAATGACTTCATTTACTTTTGCCGCACAATAAAACCGCACGGCGTGAAAGGAACGTAACAAAATGGATCATTTTGTTACAAAAGTGATCGTATTGTAACAAAAGTGAACGTTTTGTATACAAATAGGTAGTTTGCGTGTCGATTCAGTGTATCGAATATCAATTGGGTATATTGGGGCGAAGGGTTCTATAATATATGGAGTACCGCCCCTTGAAGGGCGCCTGTGCCAAAGTTTTACACAGAAAAGTTTCTTTTTCAAATATTTCCAAGGAAAAAAACTTCCATGGCTTTATTTAGTTCACCATATTTACTAGTTAGATGTATATCTCACACACAGAGGTTTAACTCGTTTAGTGTGAGTTAGATGTAATATTAACTTTTATAATGTACCATTGACTACGATCCTTACATAAATCGCCCGCCTTTTCTACATTCATCAGACCTTTCATATGCCTGCTACAAGCCTGTTACGAGAGCTTTTAACTAGGCCCTTCTTCAATATATAAATTTCGGGGTCTACCTGCACCGAACCGCCTACTCACAGGAATCTTCTCATTTCCTATTTTTGTTCGCTCTTCGCTTATGGTTTTAACATGGCAAAACAATCGTATTTACTAGCTACATGTAGTAAGATTTGTTGACAGAAAGAGTATGGCATAAAAGAAGAGTATGTATGCAGTCATAATAATTATAAAGATTATACTGAAGTGGTTCGTGTAATTAGAAAGAATGAGTCTAAAATGTATGACATAAAGCAAACGTACGAATATACCAAGCACAAGAATTGGATAATGTTCTGAAGAATGAGTGTCTGTTTTATTCAAACAGTCCTTGACTACACAGAAACCCTAAGAGATACACCGCAAATTGTTTACAGCTATTTTTTTTTTTAAGTTAAAGTTTCTGTTGTCCTTGCCTGCCCAAAGGGACGTACTTATATATATATATATATATTAATGAGTTGAATACGCTTAATTAAACCACATTACTATGGTTGAAATCATACATACGCTAGAATATAATAAATAAAATGTATGTATATAAATAAAAATAATATGTACATATATTTAAAAGTTACAGACCCTTATCTTCTATTAATCAAATCGGGACGACCTGAGCGCATGACACTTCAACGGTTTAATACCTACGTCGACTATCAATCACAATATTTGTACTGTGTTTTGTGATAGCACGTTACCATTTAAAAAACACACTACTTTGCATATTTATACTCTAAATAGATCCATTTAACAACTTGTAACAAAACATGTCACTTTAAAATGATAAACCAGCACTTGAAAGCAACCCTACATCAAGAATCAAACTAGGGCTGACATCGCTACAGGCTGGCCGAGTCATTATGGGGTGTGATTAGTCAATTTGTGTCACCCCTGTGTCCTTGGTAGGGTCGTCGCGCCCGCCAAAATAATTGATTAACTTAAGCGATGTTACATTAATGTAATGTACGCATATGTTAGTTTCGTTAGGGGTATTGTGGTGATTTTTGGAATGTAGATTAGTTATAATTTACACACACATAGATACATTATTTATGGAAAAAAAATAATGGTGTACTAGTCATTATAGATTTAAGAGAGCTGTTAGTTTGTTTTATGCTAAAAATATAAATATTTAATTGAAGCAGGTGGTGATCAGGTGGTGATTTACTTTGGTTAAAATTGGAGCCATTGTTAGACATATTAATAACTATTAATGTTTTTTTAATCAAATAAATATAAAAATCATATATTTTACTATTAATATTTGAATAAATTCTAATAGAGATTTTTGTCGCTTATAAGTAATTATGAGTACATAAAATGAAATCGGTTTATTTAAGGTAAAAGATAAAAGTATTTTTATACCTTTAAAAATACCTAATCGTGATTAAAAGCTTTTTTGTTAAATTTCTGACTAAAAAATATATTGGAAATATATATTTTTAATGAGAATAGAAACGCTTTTATATTTAGGTATTCCTTAATTGTCTTTTTTGTTTATGGAAGAGAGGGCAGACGAGCAGACGGGTCACTTGATGGAAAGTCACTACCGTCGCCCATGAATGCCTGCAACTCAGAAGTCCCAAACGGCCGCCCGGCCGTTTAGGAAGGAGTACGCTCTTTTCTAGAAGGTTTGAAGGTTATATCGGTACGGAAATACCGCAGACGATAACTTGTTCCACAGATTGATTGTGCGAGGCAAAAAGTGTCTTGAAAAGCGCACGGTGGTGGAGCGCTAATTATCCAAGTGATGGGGATGAAAATTTTGCCGTGTGGAACGATGGCGGAAAGTCGTAATTAATTGTCGTAAACATTTGAGTCAAAATTATATCTGAAATTGGCTGTTTGCAATAAATATTTATTTTTCTCATATTTTTATTCTATTCTATATTGATGTTCTGGATTATACTTATTAAACCTTAAACCCTGTGCCGCAGGGACTTTACAAATATTTAAATTTGACTTTCAAATATATTTGTGGATCACACATGCCAATTATGTTTTATGTGTCGGAGTCGCAAAATATAAAAGTAAGTAGATCATTACTATGGTTGAAATCATATATAGGAAACTGCTGGTCGGAAATCAAAGGCGTCAGGCGATTCAAAGATATGTAATACCTATTCCGTTGGATGCGAGAAGCCGAAAATCGATCGAAGTGGCGTGCAATAGGAGAGGCCTATGTCCAGCAGTGGACTGCTGATGATGACGATGATGATGGAATTAATATTCATAGTTGAACAAAATTATTACATGAGTAAAGTAAGAAAGTGATAAAGAGATTATGAACACCTTTTACTGATAAGCCCTCTCTCCTACTACTGATAAATATCAACATATTAATCATTTTTTACATTTTACGGTTCAACTGACAACAATTGTGATGATTCGCGGACAATGCATTTAATAAAATTCACTTGTAATTATAAGTCCCTTATGGGGGCCATATGGTGTTGATACCAGTGATGTATGGGGAATATCCCCATGGGTATCATGGAGAAGAGCACATGTGTACACTTGTAACGGAACTAATCGGTTTTTGTAAGAAATCTGTTCTTTCGCTACGGTTGTCGGCATTATACTGTTATGGGTTTTCGATGGTTGAGTATGCAAAATCATATAAACAAGTTTTTCATCAATTAATGATAAATATGATCATACATAGAAAAGTGAGAATAGTAACGAGTAATAAGTACGATGTAATTGTAATTTAGGATAGTTATAAATAACCGATAAAAAGTTAATTGAGCCCAAACCTAATACTCGTAAACTGGTCTTCGTAAAAAAACTTTTTTTTTCGAAAATGCGTTTCCAGAATTTTGTTATGTATTATTATATATACACATATCTTATGTGTTTCCCTCTTGCACAATAATTGTACATGGTGAATATTTAAATATTAATTAGTTTTTTAATAAATAAGTATTTCTATGAGACTAGACGTTAGGTAGAGGTAGGCTTAATTAAAAAAATAAAAGTTTTTCGCACTAAAAATCGTATCGAATCATGAAAATGCAATTATATAGTGCGAAAAAACTTCTCGCAGCAAAAACGCCTGCCTGAACATAATTTGAAGTAGCGCGGTAATATTTCTGTCGGAGAGGTAACCTAGAAAGACAAAAATACAAAAGCAGTCTTGTATTTTTGTCTTTCTAGGTTACCTCTAGAGGTAGAGGCCGGAGGAGGCTATTCGCATAAGAAAGACTAGCGGCAAAATAAATGGAGGCTAGGACCTGACAGTCTTACAATAGCAATCAATGAAAACTTAAGAAAAACACTGTCCGTGTTGTTTTTACTTAATAGAAGGTAAACACACACACCAAATACACAATGTATCGAAGCTACACCGCAATGAATACTCACACTCAAACTATCACCAAACAAATCGGTGTTCATCGCACAATACCCGCAACTGATCACCGCATTGACAACATGTTGTGCACTTTCCCGGATAATCCGTAACTAAGTTGACTACAAATCTGTGTGTGTCAAGTGTAGGGGACTGTAGGGTGACCGTAAAATGTTTGTGGTGATATAAAAAAAGGTCTTATTGAATGTAATAGATTTCTAAAGATCATAAGAATATTATAAGATAGTGAAATTGGCTGTCAGAATTTTACAAATTTACGGTATAAGGAAATACCATTCTTTTTCCTTCCGTCCTTAATGTGGACGCGTTAAATATATTTCAAAATATCGTACAAATTGATAACAGACTTTATGGCTCCTTCTGTAGGACGATTAAAATTTTCCTTTATATAATACTTACTTATAGAACAAACTATTATAAGTAGAGTAATAATACCTCAAGTAAGAGTACCACATGTCTGTCCCTGTATGCAAGTATACCACATCATAAAGTCTGTTATGATCTGACTGAATTGATCAAAGATAATATATTCTTGGGATAAACGACGCTTAACCATAACACAAATGTTTCAAAAAATAGTACCCATTATAAAAATAAATAATGATAGATATTTTTAGGCGTCAGACACGATCCTCTAGCCTGAATGTCTTCTACAAACTATTTTTTTAT